TCTCCATTATTCTTCATGTTCTTCTCGTTTGGCATCACCACATCATTGCCAATTGTCCCTTTAATGTATCTAAGCACTCTCTTGACTGCGGTGAGATGACATTCTTGTGGTTTCTCCATAAACCTGCTCAAAAGCCCAACATTTTGGCAAATGACAAGTCTTGTATGGTATAAGTACCTTAAAGATCCAACGCTTTGTTTGTACAATGTGGGATTTACAAACTCATCATTTGTTTCTCTTTTCAACTTTTATCATGTCTCCAATGGTGTAATTGTTGCATTGAAGTTGCTCATCTTAAACCTTTTCAAGATGTATTGAGCATACTTCTTTTGGTGCAACAATAATCCTTCACTTTCGTTTTTTAAATCTCATCCCTAAGAAATATGAAAACTTTCCCAGGTTGGACATTTCAAATTCCTGCATCAGTTCAGTCTTAACCCTTTTTATTTCTGCTTCATCTGCACTTGTGATTAATAAATCATCTACATACAAACATAGAATGATTCGTCTGGCCTTGTCTACATTATTGACATATACTTCATGCTCTGAAACACATTTTATGAAACCTAATTTGATCAGGAAGTTGTCTATCCTTTTATTCCAAGCTCTCGGGGCTTGCTTCAAGCCACATACAACCTTCCTTAATTTGTACACTTTTTGTTCCTGCCTTTTGATTTCGAATCCTGGTGGTTGGCTAACATAAACCTCTTCATCTAATGGTCCATTCAAGAACGATGACTTAACATCCAATTGGTGTAGCTTCCATCATTTGTATGATGCAATCAACATAACAATCATGATTGTCTCCAACCTTACAACAGGGGAATAGACTTCATTGAAGTTAATACCAGGCTTTTATAGAAAACCTCTTGCCACTAGTTTTGCCTTATAATTGACAATTTCACCACTTGGCCTCAATTTTAGCTCAAACACACACTTCACCTCAATTAGCTTCTTACTTGATCTTTTGACAAGTTCCCAGATCTTGTTTTTCTCAATTGCCATGAGTTCTTCTTTCATGGCTACCAACCAATTTGAATCATTCATGGCTTGATCCAAATAAATTGTTTCTGATTCAGCCATCATCATCACTTCTTATATGATGTCACAATCTGCATCAATTGCTTGATTTGGAAATATCTCATATCCAGCTATCCTTGTCAACTCATTTATTATTGGCGAAATGCCATTTTGGTTCTGTATGTTAACGTCAAGGTTTATTTTGGTCTCTTAACTTAAAAAATATTCATATTGGTCCCTTAACTCTTCAAAACGCTTCATTTTAGTCATTTTTGTCTAATTAGCAACGGAAAAACTCAGAAATCGGTCGCTAAATTCGTTGTTGATTAGACAAAAAGGACTAAAATGTAGCATTTTGAAGAGTTAATGGACCAATATGAACCTTTTTAAGTTAAGGGGCCAAAATGAACCTTGATGTTAACATACGAGACCAAAAAGGGTATTTTTCCTTTATTATTCTAGTCAATCTTCTAATATTTTGCTCGAGTGGTTGTTCATTTTGAGTAGTTATGACTTCATTTTGGTAGTCTGCTTCAAGCACAGTTGGGACTGCCTCTTGCTTATATCAAACTGACCCCTTAGTCCAGTCCCACCATTTACTTTCGTCCACCAGAACATCCTTACCGATTACTAGCTTATCGTCATTTGGCGAATACAACATTTATGCACCATTTGAATGATAACTTATGAGCATCATGGCCTAACTTTGATCGTCTAGCTTTTTCCTAAGTTGCTTAGGTAACGACCTAAAACACATTGGTCCAAATACTCTGGGATGACTAACATTTGGCTTCAGTCCTGTCCAAGCCTTGTAAGGTGTCCCGTCAACTATTTTCTTGGCTGGACATCTATTAAGTATGTATATTATCATCGAAACTGCTTCTCCCTAAAATCTCTTTAGCATTTCTTTAGATTTCAACATACTTTTAGCTTAGTTCAATATACTTCTATTTTTCCTCTCAGCTATACCATTATGTTGTGGTGTATAGGATGCAATAACCTCATGCCCTATACCTTCCTCATTATAGTATCTTGTAAATTCTATAGAGGTGTATTCATCACCGCCATCAGTTCTCAGTTTCTTTAACTTGCATTCACTTTGCTTCTCGACATGCAATTTAAACTTCTTGAATTGTGTGAATACCTCACTCTTATTTTCAATTAGATAAATCCACATATATCTGGTGAATTTATCTATGAAGGTTAGGAAATAACAATTACCTCCCTTTGATCTTACTTTAAAAGGTCCACACACATCATAGTGAATAAGTCTTATCTTTTGTGCCGACTTCAAGCGTAAGTCGTGCTTGAATGCTTTCCTTGTCTTCTTTGCATTGCAACACTCCTCACACACATGATGTGGTTTCTTATCTTGTAGTAAACCATACATCATCTTCTCCAGGTTGAGCATACCTATACTTCTGAAGTTTAGGTGTCCATACACGTGGTGCCATAGCCAATTCTTATCTTCTACAACATTCGAAGCAAGACATTTATGATCAACCATATCGATCTCTATCTTGAAGGTTTTATTGTCTAGTAATGGTGCTCCCAAGATCAATATTCCTTCACCATCAAACACCTTAATTTGATTGCCTACCATCTTCACGTTGTATCCTTTAGTAAGTAACTGATCTATGCTTATTTGATTAGTTGTCATAGAAGGTACATAGAACACGTCGGTGATGGTAACCTTCTGACCATCTTTCTTCATTAAAGCTATGTTACCACCCCCACCCCCACCCCACCCCACCCCAATTTGATATAACATGCATTTTTCTGCAAACTTGATCACTTTCTTAACCGATTCATCTAACTTGATGAACCATTTTTTGTTCCCCGTCATGTGGTTGTTGCATTCTGAATCTAGATACCATATACTAGCTTGTTTATCATTTGATCGCGTATTCGCCATGAGTAGCACATCATTAGAGTCACTTTCTCTAACATGTGAATATTGCACTTCTTCATTATCTTTTGCTCTTGATTCCTTCTTTCTTCGACACTCTCAAGCATATTGACTAAATACTTGACAATTTTAGTATTGCACCTCCTTCATGTCAACTTTCTTTCTCACATACTTGTTGATCATATCTTTATTGGTGGAATAATTATGATTCTTTGAATTCTTTCTCGACTTCTCATCTTTGCAAGATTTTTTTTTTTGCTTCGCCTTTTCTTTTCCAGACTTCTTGATGAATCTTCCTTGCAATGCCAATTCAATCACCTTCTCCCTTTCTAAGTTTCTCTACTTCAGCTTCATCTCATGAGTCACTAATGAAGCTTGAAGTTCTCCTAACTTCATCTCAGCTAAGTTCTTGGACTCTTCAATAGACACTATAATGTAATCAAAATTTACAGTCACGTCTCAACACTTTATCAATCTTCTGCAAATCATTTATCGATTTACCACGCGCCTTCATCTGGTTGGTGAGTAACACTAATCTTAAGAAGAAATCAGCAACCACTTCATCTTCTTTCACATGTGTTATCTCAAACTCCTTTCTTAGTGTCTACAACTTCACCCTCTTTAGTTTTTCATCGCCACCGTACAAGTTCTTCAACTTGTCTCACACTTCCTTGGACGTTTCTTTTTCAATGATCTTCTCGAACATATTAGGATCCACACATTGATGAATTAAGAAAAGACCTTTTCCATTTTTCTTTCTTGTTCCTTATGCGCAACCTTCTGAACAACACTTGTGTTTGCTTCCAATGTAGATCTTCCATCACACACGGTTTCAACCACATCTTGAAACTTAAAGATGACATTCATTTGTGCAACCCACCTCGTGTAGTTCACACCTTTGAAAACCGATAGATTTGTAGGAAATTATGTTGATGTTGTGTTTCCGTTTGCCATTACACATTCACTGAATAGCAACCAGCCTCGTTGATACCAATTTGTTGCAAATTGAGAAAGAATGAAGAAGAAGAAGAAGAGAGAGTAGTGTGAAAAACGATAGTGTATTGAAAAATATTAGGTTTTTTTTCACATCATCACATACATATTTATATGCAACTAACATACTTGACTAATACAATATGTATTCGACAGAGTCGAATACATACTATCTCATTAAGACTATATTCAACACTTGTCTAATACTGCTAGTGTATTTAACAACTCCATGTTGTATTCAACTCGGTCGAATACAACTTACATTAATTCAGTTGAAGACTACATATACTTCTAAAACAATGAACTACTACTTCTAACAATATTGATACATTTCCAAAACAATTAGAACAACAATCAATGAATTCTGTTATTTGAAATCCCTTGTCAAAGAAATCAGAAGAGAAGAATTGGACATGGCTGAGGAATTTTGAGCCACAATTAAAAGAAAAGATGATATTTTATTGCTACCTTCTACTTATCATGCTTTATGTAAAACTTACAGCAATGTTGTAAGTCAATACATAATTAGACATAATTCTGGAAGTTTGAAACAAATATTTTATTCCCAATCCCAAGAAATATAAAATCGATCAGACAAGTAGGGTCATATTTTTAGAAGAAAACTGTGTTGCTACAACAAACACTGACAAGCATTTAGTTAGGCTGCATCTCATCAGTAATAATATAATTAATGCCAATGAATGATCCAGCTAAATGGGAAGTCGTGTATTTTTCTTTTTGTTGAAAATATTAAAAATTATGTATTTGTTTGCTTGCACATGTACAAAATCAGCTATTTTGGCATTGAAATCCAAACAATATATGGTAAAGATAACAAGGTTTCAACTACAGCATATGATGCTGTTAAAGTAAGTGAAGTCAACAAACAATAATAGCCTTTTAAAAACTATTTTGATCCTATCAATTTTGTCGGTCTTATTGACGGACAATGACACCAATTTCAAACTATTCTTTATAGATTAGATAATGATTCCATTGGACACGATGGAACTTTTACATCTGTGTAATAATTCAGGTTCAACCTTATAAATAGTAGTAGATTTACAACTATTTGGAGATGGCTCTCTTAATCCTCTACTTTGCATATCTTTTCCCCTTTGCCTTCTTAACCATTATGATCCAAAAGATGAGAAAGAAGAAAAACTATTCAACTTTTAACATACCACCAGGACCTAGAGAGCTACCTATTATAGGAAATATTCACAATCTGTTAAGCTCTCAACCCCATTGGAAATTAAGAGACTTGGCCAAAAAATATGGACCCATAATGCATCTTCAACTTGGAGAGGTTTCTACTATTGTCATTTCATCACCCGAGTGCGCTATGGAGGTGATGAAAACCCATGATATTAACTTTGCATCAAGGCCTCGACTCCTTGCTGCAGATATAGTAGCTTACAATTCCACAAATATAGCTTTTGCTCCATATGGTTATTACTGGAGACAGCTACGAAAAATCTGCACATTGGAGCTTTTAAGCCTAAAAAGGGTCAACTCATACCAACCAATTAGAGAAGATGTGCTTTCCAATCTTGTCAAATGGATTGCCTCACAGAATGGATTGCCAATCAATCTCACTGAAGCTTTGATTTCTTCAATATACACTATTGTTTCGAGGTCCGCCTTTGGAAGTAAATGCAAAGACCAAGAAAAATTTATATCAGCGCTAAAAGAATCGATAAAGGTTGCAGGAGGTTTTGACTTGGGAGATTTGTTTCCTTCTGCTAAATGGCTACAACATGTTACTGGGTTGAGGCCTAAGCTTGAGAGGTTTCATCGCCAAACAGATCAGATATTAGAAAATATCATCAATGAACATAAAGAGGCAAAGAACACAAAAGCCAAAGATGATCAAGGTGAAGTAGAAGATGATCTGGTAGACGTTCTCTTAAAATATGAGGATGGTAGGAACAAGGATTTTTCCTTAACAAAAAACAACATCAAGGCCATAATCCAGGTAAGTGTATTAACCTCTTCAAAATATTTCGAAGAAAAAAAAGTGTTTACTTTGTAGCTCCACGTGAAATATTTGTAGCTGCGAAATATTTGGCACATGATTTCTCTACTTTGTAGCATTGAATTATATCTACAAGTTCTCTTCTTAAGTACTTGAAATATTATTGGATTAGCTTGGCCTTATTGATAGCTACTTTTCAGGATATTTTTGGTGCTGGAGGTGACACATCATCAAGCACCATAGATTGGGCTATGGCAGAAATGTTAAGGGATCCAAGAATAATGAAGAAAGCCCAAGATGAGGTGAGAGAGGTTTTCAAAATGAAAGGAAGGGTTGATGAAAATGACCTCAACGAATTAAATTATTTGAAATCAGTTGTCAAAGAAACCCTGAGATTACACCCTCCAGTATCACTTTTGCTACCAAGAGAATGTGGTAAAGCATGTGAGATTAATGGCTATCATATACCGACTAAGACTAAGGTGATAGTCAATGCTTGGGCAATTGCAAGAGATTCAAACTATTGGACCGAACCAGAGAGGTTTTATCCAGAGAGATTCATTGACAGCACCATAGACTATAAAGGGAGTAATTTTGAGTACATTCCTTTTGGTGCTGGAAGAAGAATATGCCCAGGGATCACATTTGGTTTGAGAAATATTGAGCTAGCCCTTGCAATGTTGTTGTATCATTTTGACTGGAAGCTACCCAGTGGAACCAAAAGTGAAGAATTGGACATGACTGAGCAATTTGGAGTGACTGTCAGAAGAAAAGATGATCTTTTACTGCTCCCTTTTGTTTATCATCCTTTGAATGTCACCTGAGTTTCACATGAGGAAACTGAAAGCTATAATAGTGTGCAACTTTACCATGTTTTCTATATTGTATTTTGTGTTTCTTTTTAGTCTGTATGCCTTGTAAATCAATTTAAATCTAAACCAAGCCTATTTCTTTCTCTTATCAAGCTTGAGGAGTTTACATACATCCACTTTTATGCAATTTTGCGATGATTCATGATTGACATTTTATTTTGTAAGTGGATATTCAAGTATTTTGTTCTATTTGCAGATAGTTTAAATGTTTTGGATCCGAAATCACTTAGTTTAACTTAATAAGTGCTATAGCACTGCTTTAAATTCCGCTACACTATTGTGCTATAGCACTGCTTTAGCGGCAATTTGACATCAGTTTGCACTTAATTGTGCCTTCCAAAACAATAGCAGTTTCTCTAAATTCCACTATTGTAACTATTTGACTACACTGATTGAAAGAAATTCGGACTTACCACCAGAGCACTAGAGGCCAGAGCATCTCAATGTTCTGTTCAATCCAGCTTGTCAATGTAAGAAAAAAGAGTTATGAAACAAACATGTGTATCAAAGAGAAATGAGTAATTACAACGAATACAAAAACACTAAAAACACATTGAAATTGAACATAGCAAAAAAAAGTTACAGGGTGTACTTACAAAATTACATGATCATAGGTGATTCATTTACTGCTGCATTTCATCGAACACCTCAAAAGCAACTTTGTGAACTACAAATATATGAAATGGAACACAGAATAATTCTAAGTAAATACTCTCTTCCCTAACTAACCTTCCTTCTTCGCCTGACATCACCAAAAACGCAAGGTCTGAATTGTAATTTTGTAATCTTTTTTGGCAAATCATTACCTATTTACCAATGTAACTAAGTTATGTTTGAATAACTTTACACGAATGAAGGAGTAGAGTCCAACAGAATTATAAATTGTACACTCATAGTAATCGTTAGTTAATATAATAGTGATTGACGCTGAATTTAATAGAGAGAATCACAATTCGATATTTATAATTATCGGTGATGAAAACAAAAAAAAAACTGAAATAATGATATGTAATAAAAATGTTATTGATTTAATTGAACAAATAAATATATGTTGTTATATCATCGAAATTCAAAATGCTCTTTAATAAATTAATCATATTACAAATAGTTAATTAAATATTACAGAGATGTAAAAGAAGTATATGAAATATTAAAATAATTTATCATAATAAATCGTGCAAGTACTATATGAAATAAAGAATAGTAAAAAAAGTAATTATTGACAAACTTTCTTTCCACGAGTTTTCAAAATCGAACCATTTCAATTGAAAATCACAAATTGAATTATATGAAAACAAGAGAAAAAAAGAATAGTAAAAAAATTATTGACAAACTTTCTCTCAACGAGTTTTCAAAATCGAACCAATGCAATTGAAAATCACAAATTGAACTAAATTAAACTGAAAATTGCAAAAAAAATTGCATTTAATTCGAATGAGTTTGGATTATCTTTTAACAAAATTGCACGGTTCGATTTGCAACTTGTATTTTGCAAACCGAACTAAACTGAATCAAACTGCATTATGTTAGAACCTAAATATCTCTTAACTCACATTCAACTAAAACCTACACCTATTATGTCTTAACCTTACAATTAGGAACAGAGTATAACATGTCTCTTTAACGGAAAGAAACTCACAAGGATAGGAAAGAAGGAAACAAGAAGAACATAATGAATTGATTATAAACTGGTATTATTTACTTTCTCTTTGAAATAAGATTACAAATGCTACAAAATAACAAATAATCTCTCTCACCCAAATTAGGATTTGCAGTGTGCAATGATGAGAGACTAGTATATTATTTATAAGAAAACTAACACATTAAAATAACAGGCTTTTACACACAGACCCATTACAAGCTAACTTAGGGAACAAGCTAACTTAAACAATTAGACATAACAAACATGACCAATTCGACATGCTAACAATCCTAGCATTTCGACTACTGCATACTTGAACATACTTAGACTACATTCGACCCCGCCATGCGAACCAATTTCAACCTCATGCTTAGATCTTGTCAAATTTTTGAACCTAGAAGCTACCCTTCAACCATACTAGAGTTCGATCAAATATCTCATAAATCTCCACCTTGAAAAAAACTCTATAACATTAAGGGAATAAACTAGCTTTCTTTGAGCAACTTTATCAACTGTATACAATGAAAAAACATGCAACTTGACAAAGTCTTGGTGATCATACCAACAATATTGTGATCTATCGAAACCTTCAACACTTGGACTTCTCCACACTCGATTACCCCTATAACAAAGTGCAGCCTCACATCGATGTGCTTGATTCGCTCATGATAGGCTGAATTCTTTGACAGGTGAATTGCACTTTGACTATCACATTTAACAATGATAACTCGACCTTGAAGTTTCAGCTCCTTACAAAAACCTTCAAGCCACAATACTTCCTTCATAGCTTCAGTGAGGGAAATATATTATGCTTCAGTGGTTGATAAGGCGACAACCTTCTGAAGCATCGATTTCCAACTGATTGTTGTGCCGAACATAGTGAACATATATCCATAAATAGACTTTATGGAATCCATACAACCTCCATAATCAGAGTCAACATATCCTTCAATTACTCTTTACTATCTTCACCATATGCTCCACCATAAATTAGGACTTTGTTTAGAGACTCGTTTATGTACCTTAGAATTCACTTCAATGCTTTCCAGTGAGCCTTTCCAGGATTCACCATGTATCTTCTTACAAGATTTATTGCATATGATATGTTGGGTCTAATACAAATCATAACATACATCAAAGAACCTACTATGTTAGCATATGGGATGATATTCATATAAGCTCTTTTGACCTCAGTACTAGGACATTGATCTATACTCAGCTTGAGTTAAGGGTTTGTCGGAGTCACAGCAGACTTTGAATTCGACATACCAAACTTGTCGAGAATCTTTCGTAGGTATGCCTCTTGAGATAAGCATAATTTTGAATGTTTTCTATCTCTTCGGATGTCAATCCCAAGAATCCTGGAAGCAACTCCCAAATCCTTCATGTCGAACTCCTTATTGAGTTCATCCTTCACCTTAATTACATCCTTAACATTGTTGCTTGCCATGAGAATATCATCCACATAAAGAAACAAAATAACAAATAAATTTTTAGGTCGAAATTTGAAGTAAACACAGTGGTCAAACTAACTTCTAATGAAACCTATGTGTGCCATGAACTTGTCGATTCTCCTATTCCACTATCGAGGAGATTGTTTTATGCCATATAATGACATGGTCATCTTGCACACATAATCTTCATTTCCCCTTTCTACATACCATTCAGGTTGCTTCATCCGGATTATTTCATCTAAATCTCCATACAAGAAAGTAACCTTCACATCAATTTGTTCCAGTTCTAGGTCAAATTGTGCCACCATGGCAAGTAACATTCGAATAGACTTGTGATTTACAATAGAAGAGAAAACAACATTAAAGTAGACACATTCTTTTTGAATGAAACTCCTTGTGACCAACCTTGACTTATATCTCTTCGATGTTACTCCTTTGACTCCTTCCTTAACTTTGAAAATCCACTTACAACTGACTAACTTGGCTCTAACAGGTTTCTTGATCAACTCCTAATTGTGATTATCATGAGGAGATTTTATCTCATCATCCATGGCCTTCATTCATTCTGTCTTATTTCGACTCCTTATAACTTCCATATAGTCTCTAGGTTCTTATTTGACTTGTTTTGGGATACACAATTTATCATCAACATGCTCTACCTCAGTAGGAATGTCTTCCTATTCCAGCTCTTCTTCAAATATCTCTGCATTTCGACCAAATTCACCAGGTTTCTTGAAAGCCATCTCAGCTTCATTGAAAACTACATCTTGACTAGTTATACACCTTCTGTGACCTAGGTCTAGGCACCATAGTCTATAAGCTTTGAATCCTTCAAGATATCCCATGAACATGCATCTAAGAGATCTAGGTTCGACCTTGTCTTGCCTAATGTGAGCATAGGCTACACAGCCAAATACTTTAAGTTTGTCGAGATCTGGTGGATGTCCCGACCAAACTTCTTCAGGTGTCTTCATATCTGGCAGTAGAATGACATCTGCTTATCAGATATGTTGTTGTTGAAATAGCCTCTGTCCAAAACATCTTATTTAATCCAACACTAGTCTACATGCATCTCACTCTTTCCAAAATGGTTCGATTAAACCTTTCAGTCAAACCATTTTGTTGGAGAGTACCTGCAGTAGTTATGTGCCTTACAATACTAGAGGTTGCACAAAAAATGTCGAACGCCTCATTGCAAAATTCAAGGCCATTGTCAGTTCTCAACCTCTTGACCTTTCTTCCATTCTGATTTTCGACCAGAGTCTTCCAACTTTTGAAATTCTCAAAATTTTCATCCTTAGTATTCTGGATGAATACCCACAACTTTATGGAATAATCATAAATTATGGATAGAAAATACCTTGCTCCTGGATGTGATGGACACCTTGCAGACCCCCAAAGATCATTATGAATGTAATTAAAGGATCCATGTATTATTTATTTTCCTTTATTGAACTTCACTCTGCAAGATTTTCTAACTACACAGGGTTCACAAAACTCCAGATTTTCGACTTTTTCTCCTCCAAGCAGATTTTGTTTCCCCACTTCGACCATACAAAGCCTTATATTGAGCCATACCAATGCTCACATGGTAACTTGTATTATATAAAAATTCAATCAACGGTAAGAGCTTCTTCCAATTTCCCCCACTTCATATCACACATGCTCTCAACATGTCTTCCAAGGTCTGAATCATCCTCTCAGTCTGATCGTTCATCTCGAGGTAAACTTTGGATCCTTATTTGACACAATACTAGTGGGAATACCATGCAACCTTACAATCTCTGAAATAAACAACTATGTAAAATTAATTGTCTTGTAAGTAGTCTTCGCAGCTAGAAAGTGGACTGACTTAG